AAGGAAGGGACCCTTACAGTTAAGGAAGGGCAGCAGATAGCAGCTCTAAAGGAGTTTGGGGCACGTAGTGATGGAAAGAAGTCAAAGAAGCGGGTGCGCGCTAAAGTGGGTGAGCCCTCCCAACAACGCTGTGGACAGTGCAATTAGACTGGGCACAACGCGCGAACGTGCAAGAATAATACAGAAGTAGTCTCTAAATAATATTCTAAGCTGTACTGCACCTTGCAGCGCCAGAGTGTGGTGTTTTGGGCCATAATAGGGTGAGGTTTAGTAGGGTCTTGGCAAAAGTGTCCGACTCGCCCGTGTGTCCGACTCGCCCGTGGGGTACGTTACTCTAGCTTTTATTTAAGAAACTAAAGTAGGCACACAAAAGTAGTACCTACAGCAAACAATAGATAACTAATTTCCTTTGTCTATAACTAGAGCAGAGGCTCTTACTATATGTCTACGAACCTATATATACTATTCCCTTATACAGAAAAAACTTGTAAATTACTAGAGCAGCCTCACTGCTCTCGTCCTATATAGTCTTAGACTCACACAGGACGTTAAACTAATCAATCAATCAATCAATCAATTACTACCTCACTTATTGCACATCCTCTAGCTACTTAATATAGTCTACTTCTTGCTATTAAAGCGCAAGTACTCTTAGCGTGTACAAGACTTAGCACATAAGCGTGTCTTCTACATTAATAAAGAAGGCTTTCTCCCTACCTTTAAGGCTGTGTTTTTTAACATATTTACAGCAGAGAACTGTTACAAGGCCTTTAAGGCAGTAGGGCTAGTCCCTCTTAAAGCGCAGGTTGTGTTAGATTACCTTAAAGTGTGCCTGCGTACCCTGCTAGAACCCCTCCTCCTAGAGACGCTGTAGTAGTTAAAGACTCTAAGTAATACCTACAAGTTTAGATCTTAGTTAAAGCTTGTACGCGAGTCTTTTACTTAGTTGCCTATTACTGCGCAAGCAGGCTTCTCTTAGCTTGTTAGAGGCAGCGAGCTTATGCTGCATCAGAACGCGCTTCAAGCAGCCTGGATTACGGAGCTTGAAGAGCAATTAGCAGTAATAACTAAGCAGAAATCGCGCAAAAGGAAGCAGATCTAGCAAGGCGGTACTATAGAGTCTGGTGAGGCAGTAGCTTAGGTGGCTGCAGAGGCCTCTGTAGCCACTAAGCGGTCAAAGAAGGCTTAACGTACCCCACGGGCGAGCGAGCCAATGGGCGAGCGAGCCACTTTTGCCAAGCCCCTACCAAAACCTGACCTATTATGGCCTAAAACACCACACTTTCGCACTCTGTGGCAGACTATGGCATATAATATTACTTAGAGACTACTTCTACATTAATCTTGCACGTTCGCGCGTTGTGGCTAGTCTGATTGCACCTTCTGCAGCGCCTTTGGGTTGGCTCACCCTCTTGAGCGCGCACCCGCTTCTTTGGCTTCTTCCCATCACCACGCGCCCTAAACTCCTTTAGAGCTGCTAGTCGCTGCCCATCTCCAACTATTAGGGTCCCTTCCTTCTGAACCTGCTTTCTTTTGTGTGATTTTCGTCGCGTGGCAGCCTTATTAGCTGCTTGAAGCTTGCTAATTTCCTGTTAGGCTAAAACTAGCTTGTGGGATAAAATTGCTCCCCCCTTTGCGTAGTGCTTAAGCGCGCTTAGAACAGAGTCTAGTAAGCTACCCTGCTGCTTCTTATACTTCTCTTAAATTAGAGTTAATTGCAACCTAAATTCTAGGGTATTGCTAGGGGTTTGCGACTGCTAGGGCTTGCTGTTAGTAGGGAGTTGTAGTGATAGAGTCTGCAGCTTCACATTAAGGGTTAAAATAACCTATTCTAGGTTAAAGGGGACTAATCTAGCACCTTAGAACCCTCCTTAGATATTACTAGGAGTAAACACTACATTGTAGACTGCTTTAAAGCATGGGAGGAACTTAGTCTTTGTAAGGTGGGTAATCTAGTTGCGCATAAGCATTTTGGCTTAGCGCCTATACGCTAGCTTTAAAGGGGCAAAACAACCCACATTAAGTGGCTGTAGGAGGTGTAATAAGTGCAGAGGTATACATATAGTAATAATCTTGTTATCCTTGCAGTATTGCTAGAATTGGAGCGAGTCGTGGCTCTTATAGCCATCAATAACTAGCAGTTGGTAGGTACCAACAGTTCGCCCCTTTGTATGCGCGTTAAAGTGCTTTAACTACTTAAGACTAAGCTTATTAGTAGTCTAGCTGTTACTAGAGACTCTAATAACCTAATCCTAGGGCAGGTCTTCCTCCTTGTACTAGCTAGAGAGGTGGTGGCATGCCTTGAAGATGATGAAGGGCGGAATAGCCTATCCTTTTGCACTGATGCCCTGTAAAACTGTTGTCCACTCCTGGTTGCCTGGCTGGACTGTTTTTGGCCTTCCTAGTCTCTCTAAAGCTGTAACAACTGCTCCTGAGGAGATCTAGCCTATTATAAAGCCTATCTTATTAAAGTTGTAGGTATTGTTATCCTAGATGCCATACTTGGCTTTGATGTTG